TTCCGATGGCTGGGACCACACAAGAGGTTTATGAGTATGTGGCTGCTCACTGGTTAATAGGCTGTCCATAGTTCAGCGAGTACGTTGTTTCAGATCCAAAGATCCAGGGTTCCATTTCCACAGGTGACTCAACCAGGTCTAGTGGTCTAGTGGAAGGTGTCCCTGCTGATGGCAGGGGGATTGGAACTAGATGATCTTTAAGGTCCCTTCCAATCCAAACCATTCTATGATTCTATGATTAGTTGCATTGAGATACAGGAATTGAGCAGAGAAGTCTGCCCAGAAAAAGGCAAAATAAAGGAAGATGCAAGAGAGAAATTTCCATGAGACAAATTTGGCTACAAAAACATATGCCAAAATAAGGGGGAACAGGGAAGAAGAGGAGATTAATTGTTGGAAATAAGAGAAACTTAGAAGGGAATAAAGAATGACTGTAACAAAGGGAAAGTAAGTTGACCAGGAGAAGATAATTAAGTGAGGAAAACACAGTAAACCTTAAACAGAAGAACAACCAAAACTGAAGCAATGGTTATTATTCCAAAAGTTTATAGTACGTATGGTGAATGTTATGCAAGTGAATTTCCTACAGAGCTATGAAAACAGAAGATATCCAGGAGTCTCCGAGAAAGAAACAAGGGTCTGACATTTTAGTAAATCTAATAATCATTTGATGGAAGAACATCTTAAGGCAACAGAAAGTTTTTAGACACTTTATATACCTTACACACTTGATATATTTTATATACAACATTTTAACATCTATGTAATCATTAAAGTATCAACAATAAGATCAGCACTAAAGAATCCTTGAAGTATGTATTTGTTTTAAAGCTTCTGTTATCACAGTACATAACCCTTCAGAAACATACTGCTGTTTGATGACTACTTTAAAAAGTTGGCATAAAGTTGAAACAGAGATTCCCTTAAATGTCCTGAGTCAACTAGTGCCTGAACAATCTCCTGAGAATTTGTTCTTTTCTTTCCATATTAAATATTTTTCCATGTGGACTTGTCTCCAAGACATAGCTTATCTAAAACTCTCTAAACATTATGTGCTTATGCTTTATATAACTGGAATTAAGACTTTTGAAACCGGCCTCATGTTTTGTCATCTGAAATTTAGTTAGTATCACATTTGATTCTCAGTGATGTGCATATGAGGTTTTTTTGCATTAACATTCCCAACATTGTTCATTGATCAAATAAAAAAAAATAGTGGAAAGATAACTGAGTGTGTCCAAAGTATATTTTGGTATTACATACCAAAACTTTCCACAATATAAAATAAGCACCATGCCAAAACTTTAAATTCATTATCATCTATACATCATATACTCAGTCATTTGACTATATGACTAAATTTTACAGTTTAAACTCATCACAGATGTAATTTACTAATTCTGAAAGGTACCTAACATGCAAGTCCTTCTACTGAAATGTTAAGTATTTGTCACAAATTACATAAAGCAAATTATATCTGCATAGCGAATACATATTACTGCATTTTCATCTGCACACAAAACTTAGGAGAGGTGAATCTACATTAGAATGCTGAATGGGATCATCAATTTGAAAATGCTCAAACAGCAGTGACTGCTGAGCATCATCTATCTATCCAAAGAAGAAGTGACCTCAGCAGTCAAAAATAAGCAGGGCTCCCTCAAGTCATTGACTCAGCTCACTGTTGATTTAATGCCAGCTCTGGATTCCGGCCTGAGTCTCATGGCCCAAGCTTAGATCTAATAAAAGTATGCATCTAGTGCTTACAGTAAATAAAGCAACGCTGTATTCAATCCAGCTACATTTAATTTTCAATAAAATGTTAACAGAAACATTCTCTTCAGTTCCTAACACACCAACATAAAGCATCACTTCCAGGCATTTCCAGTGCCAGAAGGCACTGAGGTTTTAAGAAAGAAAACATACTTTAATCTTTCTCTCTGGACCCCTTTGAAGATGAAGTTTGATGGTGTTCTGATTTACTGCTAAACAAACCACATCAATAAGCTAAGCAAACTATTATCCCATATGTACATCAGCAGAAAGACATATGCTCATTATCAAATTTCCTGTGCCTAACTACTGCAAAACTGCAATCTAACAGGAGGTCTAACATGGTAAGAATAAGAAAGTAGAAGCTGTCTGTCTCTCCAAAACATTCAGTTATAAATTTAATGGCTGTCTCAGGCAGTCAGGATTTTTCCTATGGGACTTGCCAGATTCAACAGCTTTCACCATAGCTGTGCTACGCAAAGTGCTCAAGTATGCCAAAGTAAATTTTCCTGCACAGTTAGGTGTAGTTAACTGTGCTGCACTGAATGAGTCAGTAAGTCATCGAGTGAAAACCACAAAAATTTTTGATATTTTGGAAAATATCTTCTCGCATTCTAACGATTGTCACTTCTTTGAAACTGGATGGCAGAAGAAATTGCAAAAGTACCTTTTGAAATGTGTTAATCTTACTTTCCTTCCTTCATCCAGCTGAAACTAATGCTATCCTTTATTAGGAGCTAATCAACATGGCTGGTACATAAGACTTTCCCAATACATGAGCTGAGGAATCCCATGATGCTATCATTAACAACCTGACTCATATAGCAACCTCCATAATCATTCTGGAGAGAATCCAGAGGGGTCAGCTCAGCTATGTGGTGAAAAATCCCAAATACAGCTCTTTAAATCAAGGCTACTTCAGTTACTTTAAATACTGTTAAAATCTGAATTTTTGTTTCCTTTCTGAGAAAAAAAAAAGGGGGGAATAAAACACTGTACTAAATAACTGATACATAGTTCATTTTTACTTAAGAAATAGTCTCATAAGTAAGAATTCATTGTTCCAGAGCTTTAAGATAATTTGCAAATGGCTGTTACTCCTCTACATTATTTGGCATCTTAAGATTGCTTTCTGTTCATATGTATGAGTATATTTAACTATTAAAATAATACAAAATTCTGGATTTTTATTTCCTCTGTAATAGTTTTTCACCAGTGAGTATAATAAACAATTATACAGAATCACAGAATGGTAGGGGTTGGAAGGGACCTCTGGAGATCATCTAATCCAAACCCCCTGCCAAAGCAGACTCACCTAGAGCAAGTGGCACAGGACTGCATCCAGGCGGGTTTTGAACATCTCCAGAGAAGGAGACTCCACAACTCTCTGGGCAGCCTGTTCCAGTGGCCTGGCACCCTCACAGTAAAGAAGCTTTTCCTCATGTTTAAGTGCAACCTCCTGTGTTCCAGCTTGTGCGTGTTGCCCCTTGTCCTATCATTGGCCACCACTGAAAAGAATCTGGCCCCATCCCCTTGACACCCGCCTTTTAGATATTTATAATCATTAATAAGATCCCCTCTCAGTCTTCTCTTCTCCAGGCTAAACAGACCCAGCTCGCTCAGTCTTTCCTCATAAGAAAGATGCTCCAGCCCCTTAATCATCTTAGTATCCATCCACTGGACTCTCACCAGAAGTTCTCTGTCTCTCTTGAACTGGGGGGCCCAGAACTGGGCACAATACTCCAGATGTGGCCTCATCAGGGCAGAGTAGAGGGGGAGGAGAACCTCACTCAACCTGCTGGTCACACTCTTTTTAATGCACCCCAGGATACCATTGTCCTTCTTGGCCACAAGAGCACATTGTGGCCTCATGGTCAACTGGTCCTCCACCAGTACTCCCAGGTCCCTTTCTGCCGAGGGCTGCCTTCCCCAGGTGCAGGACCCTACACTTGCCCTTACTGAACTTCATCAGGTTCCTATATGTAAATGCTAGTGTTGCTGAGGTTGCAGGTTGTTCCCCATTTCATAGAATCATAGAATCATAGAATGGTTAGGGTTGGAAGGGACCTTAAAGATAATCTAGTTCCAACCCTCCTGCCATGAGCAAGGACAACACCTTCCACTAGATCAGGTTGCTCAAAGCCTCATCCAACCTGGTCTTAAACACTTCTAGGGAGGTGTCATTCACAACTTCCTTGGGCAACATGTTCCAGTGTCTCACCAGAGCATTTATTTGCTCTGAAAAATGAGCAGAGATTCACTGCAAGTGCTGTCAGATAATTCTGCTCAGCTCTATAACATTTGGAGGAACTGCAAGGAAAAATATGACTCTGTCAATTAAATTAGCAGCAGACACTTAAAACAGACTGCTGGCAGTACAGCATGTAGAGAGCTTTACACCACTAACCTGGAGAAGGGAAGTCTCGACTCACACTGATATCTAAAATGAGGCATGCTACATGCTGTTCTGTGTTTGAACAGTACTTCTTGGTGATGACTCAACTTTTACATCAAAACAATGTCTAACCTTGCATTTACTGAAGGGGTTTTTTTTCATTCCAGTAGATTAACCCATTTCCTTAAAATTCAGTTTGCCTACTAAGCTATCCAAAAAAAAGAAAGGCAAAAAGCCAAATGCCAAGGACAAAATAGAAGCTGCCTAATGCAGGTGTGATCCAAGCCTACTTAAAAGTATTAGTCACAAAGTCAGTGATATAAACTTCTCTTTATATATGCAAAAGTAATTAGCCATTAAATAAACTATAAACACAAGAATAATCAGCCATGATATAGAAGCAGTTTGGGAAATTCTCCTCTGTCAAATTCTGAGGAAGCCAATAGCCTTTATAGTCCTGGGTGACTACTGTAGTCATGCAGATGAAGTCACAAAACATAATGCTGGTACCCACTAGCTTTCCCTGCTTTCAGCCTAGCAGAGCTAAATTGACAATGTGGCCTCCAGAATCAGCAAGATGACAGAGGCAACCTCTTATCTGTATCCTCAGAAGAATGCTGATAGTGACGAGTCATGCAGGAAAGGGTATCATAAAGAAAACAAATGTTATACTCAAGCCATATTTAGTCATCAGAAGAAAACTAAACTAAACAGAGGGGAGATAAATAAAAACATGAGAATGTGCATTTCAGCCGACCAAAAATGTTACAATTGCAACTCACTTTCTCACCCCAAACACATACACTTAACACAGCAGGATTTTTTTATTTTAATTACATTTTAGACATATACGTAGCCTGAGTCAAATACCTCCTGATGACTAGAAGTAAGGAACCCTGGCAGGATCAAGGTTTCATAATTCAGTGCATAAAATTAGAGAAGCAAGCACAAACCTATCACAATTGAAGACAGATGCAGCAACATGTAAAGATTTCACTAGCCATTTTGACAATTCACTGGTTACATGATCTTTCATGGGCTTTCTGTCATTGTTGTTGCTTCTTCAGTTAATATTAGTTTGGAATACTTTGAAACATTTTAGGCCCAGTGAATTTAAGCCAAAAATATACAAATACACATGCTTACATACAAAATATGTACATATATATGTATTAAGTTTGTTAAACATAATCTTACTTAATACGCTATCCACCTCCCAAAAATAGTTTTCTGCCTTTTTCTATAAGTCAATAGCTACTTAATTTCTGTGGCTATATCTTCTTCTCTGAATGATTATACATAACTATAACCCCCCCCAATCTTTTCTCATCACAATGTCCTTTCTCTTTTTTCAGTTTATCTCTTACTCTTCCTCTTTCATGTGGCAAGTATCAGTCTATAATATCTTGTTCAGATATATCCCTCAACTTAAAAAATCTTGACAAGATCTTGACAAATCTCTTACATTGGTTCAAAGTAGGCCTTTAATTGAATTAAATAAAGAAGAGCTATAACATCAGAGATCTGCTATACGAAGAAGAGCTATAACATGAGATTACTGTGTCTGTTCTAGGGACCTCAACATAAGAAGGAAATGGACCTACTGTAGCGAGTCCAGACGAGGGCCACAAGGCTGACCAGAGGGCTGGAGCACCTCTCTTATGAGGACAGGCTGAGAGAGTTGGGGCTTTTCAGCCTGGAAAAGAGAAGGCTCTAGGGAGACCTTATAGTGGCCTTCCAGTACCTGAAGGGGCCTATAGGAAGGCTGGGGAGGGACTTTTTACAAGAGTAGGTGGTGATAGGAAAAGGGATAATGGCTTTAAACTGGAAGAGGGTAGGTTTACATTAGATATTAGGAAGAAATTCTTTCCTGTGAGGGTGGTCACACACTGGAACAGGTTGCCCAGAGAAGCTGTGGATGCCCCCTCCCTGGAAGTGTTTAAGGCCAGGCTGGATGAGGCTTTGAGCAACCTGGTCTAGTGGAAGGTGTCCCTGCTGATGGCAGGGGGATTGGAACTAGATGATCTTTAAGGTCCCTTCCAACCCAAACCATTCTATGATTCTATGATTCTATTTCTTGTTTTATATAATCTGTAAGTTCCTACGTCAACTTACAGTACTATACAAAGACTAGATATAACTGACAGTGACTTCTACTTGCTTGTCTTTTGTTTCAAAGAACAGCACTTCAGAAAGCAACATTCACAATTTCAATCCTTTACCTTGTGGAAGCTTCCATAAAAGATTTTCTTTACTTCATCATTATCAAAAGTTACAGTTTGAACCTCTCCCCTTGTATCCTTGTTAAAGAATGACAGCACTTTGCTGGCAGCTGCAATAAATAAAAATAATGCATTTCATTTTATATGTACTACTGAAACCATCACCCTAAAATACACTTTTAGATAAAATGTAGTATACCACACAAATGGGTAAACATGTTATACATGGTCTTATTGACCCATAATTACATAGATGTGTATTCCTTTGGTTTTAGAGGTGATACCAAAGTTGAAATGTAGTTTAGCTGAATTATTCTTAGTTGAAAAAAAAAATTATTTATGTACAAAGTAAAAAAAAAAAATCTTTTAAAACTAAAAATATATAATCCTTTTACCATGTAAGAATGCTTTGGTTTTGGAAATATTTGGGAAGAATGCATGCAAAGTAATGTAATATATAAAATCTCTGCATAATAAGCAAAATCATCCTTACGATCAAGCACAACTCCAACTTGTGGTTTGTAATCTCTGTCTGTAATCTGCCAAATTGCAAAAGGCTCACTGGGGGAATCAGGCAGAAGACGGAATAACAGAATGATAGTGTATGCCTGTGGCAATCCCTCTGGGTGAATTTCCCTGTTAAGAAAATATGATGACATTTTTTCACATGGATATACACAAGGAAAATAAGATCTTCATAATTTGTTCTTTTTCAAAGAGAAGATATGAGAGTAAAAGGGAAACCACAGTGTTTAACAGAACTGAGCATTTTAACTACTCTCTCAAATAGAAAATAACTTTGTGATAAAAATCATCATGTGATTTGTTAAGATGAAGTCACAGCCTGTCTTCAATTGGTTCAGGCACCATGGCTATGGAGGAAGCCAAAATATGACCAAAAACTCTTGGAGATGTATTCCTGTGGCAAGATTCTTCATAAACTACGCATATTTAAAATTTCTTGATGATAAGTACAGAAAATACAACCATAGCTTTATTCTTTTTTGATCTGGTCTGTTTTAGACAGGCAACAGAAAACAGCACTTAGCTATTGCTGTCTTCCAGGCACAGATACAATGAAGGCTGTATCACCTGCAATTGGTGATGTATTTGGGCTTCATCTCATTCGTTAGTGGTTGAGGTTTAGATTTATGAGCTTCAGATTGTTAGACATTAAAAAACAGATAGCCAAAAGTAAATAAAAACATTCATTAAAAGGCCTCCAGCATTTTCTGAAGGTGAAGAGAGGGCAAGCAGAGAGGAATCTGTAAGAAAGGAGGTAGCTTCTGCTTCCCCTTAACAATTATAATGGAACTGAGAAGAGGCTCTGGCCTCATGAACATAAATATTGAAACCTTAAAATGAAGAGACAACCTGCTCTGTATTCTAGGCAAAGCTTATGCACCCATACAATTATGGATGCGCTGCAATAATAGCACAATTAAGAACAAAAAAGAAAACACAAGAAAGAAAATAATAAAAGTAGATATAGTAACACTATTTATAACTTGGATCCCAAGTTATCTCAGATATAGAAACAAGTATGCCACCAGGATCAGGATGTTTTTATTGCTTTGCTGACTCAGTCTAAAGTGAGTTTTATTTTCTGGCTTCTCATGAAAAATAAGTGCCCAGAATACTCTGGCAAGTCTACTTCACCTCTTACAGCAGACAACATTAAAAAAATAAATAGGAAGTCTGTCTATTTATCATCTTATCCTGCTAAATGCAAGTTTAATCTTAATGTAAGAGAGTTGCAAAACAAGATCCCCTAGTGACTGGGATTATCTGTACTTCCCTAGATCATAAAAATCCAGGCTGTCAGAGATCTATCACCTCCATAGCTATAATGGCATGTCAATGAACTGAAAAAGTCCTCAAGTCCTCCACTTTTGAAGTTGTGAGCTGAGAAGGCTGGCAAAAAGAAACTATTTCTTCATACACTTCAGTTCCTGTGCCTGTGATCTGATCTTTACCCAATCTGGCACGACTGCAGAATATTTCAAAAGCTTGTGTGAAAAGATTAAATTTCCTTAAATTTAATAGGAATAATGAGATATCTTTAGGCATCTCCTCTGACTCAATGACTTTTTTGAAACTTACTTAAGTAGATGGCAGAGGCACAAATATAAAAGGAAAAAGAGAGCTACTGTTCTCCTCTTAGTAAAATTAACTGCTAGCTAAGTCTTTTTTTGCTTTTTTGGTGAAAAAAATTTGGAAAGAATGACCATATATTACCCCTTCATAACCAAGCTCTAAGACCACAGGCCCTTGAAAACTCCACTCCATTTGCCAAACACAGCAACTCAAGCAGAGAAGAAACTACCCTAAGTCAACAGCATCAATGTGCTGCCTACTGCAGTATGAATGATGCCCCTGAAAAAAGTGGTGCTTATCCCTCCATATTGAAATCATTTCCCTCTGGCAATGTGGAGCTCATTGTACTAAGGAGGCTGTTGTTCAGCTGCCTAAGGACAAACTGTGGACAATGTGCAACTCAAAGAGTTAAAAAGTATAATCTCCAGAAAAAAAAAACAACAAGCAACTAGATTAATAGTGAACAGATCACAACAGAAGAAACAGATTAGCATTTAATGAGAACAATGATAGATGTTTTTTGGAGTATATTTCTTGGAGTTCAGTAAAAAGAACATCAAATAAAGATTCCATAAGATACTGATGATATCAGCTATAAACTCTATTAAGCCTTCCTCACCTGTTTGCCCTAAATATGAGTCTTTCATCTTTACTTACCGTATTGGCTGGCTGACAAAGGCATTTTTGTGGAGTCTGTATGCTACGTAGCTTGGGAAAGAGCCTGATTCCAGTGATACGCCTTGTACAGAAGCAAAATGCTTCTCTGTTAAATTATATGATTCCAGCATCTTGAAACCTTTAAATCCAGAGAGAAAATAAAAAACAAAAACACTGTAGAGCTGCAAAATACACAAATGAACCTATGCCAAAATATTAGACAGTTACTTACCAGGTGAAGTGTATCCATCCAAGTAAATAAGAGGACAAGCTAAAAGACATGAAACAACATATAATTCAAAACTATAAAACCAAACAGGATATGAACATATATATACTTCAGAAAGCTTTATTCCCAAAAAGTCTGTTCTATTATTAATTATCAGCCAACTTTTATTACATTTTGCTACATTTGTCATACTGTGTTCTGCTCTCTGGTAGATATACTGTTAAAATCTTTACTTGTTACTTTTAGTAGGATATTTCTACCACGACAAACTGTATGGAATAACAAATGAAACCCCCCAAATATTTTAAGAGTCTAATTCATAAGAAGAAAGGAGCACAATGACACAGTCTTTCCATGAATATTTAAGGCATGAGTCAGGCTGCATAATAGCTGTCAGATTCAGGAAGAAAAACTGCAGATTTGTATGGCTCCTCAGGAGCCAGCAGATGAGGCAGTTAGGGAGTCCAAAGTTGCACATGACAGGCCTGAGAATTTGACATTTTTGCCATAGAAGGATTTCACTTGAGTAAACAACTGAACTTTATTTAGATAATTTTAAAACAGCCTCACACACTACAGCTGCTCCTCTTTAGCACCCTTAGACTACTGGTAAATAAGAGACCTGTTGTCCCCCCCAGTTCACATCAGGCATCATTCTGCTTCTTCTTAAAGAGCAGTAGTTCTCACTATTACTCTCTTTTTGTTATACTGGTACTTCTGAAATATGAGACAAGATTGCATAAAATACAATACTTACTTCAAAAATTTTAAAAAGTAACTTGCTCCCTTAAACTATGTACAGTTATTATGAAACCTAACTTTTATATATTAACATTTCTTTTGATGTATCTTAAATGGGATGGCAACTGTAGCAGTATATAAGCAAATGAATTAATTTGGGAAAAGGGAAAATGATATCTTCCACTCACTTGAGGTAGCTGTCTCACACACAAAGGTGACGAGGTTATCTTGAATCTTTTCAAAGGCATCAAAGTCATCAACAATAAATACATGACGCTCACTGGGCTTGCTGGCAATCTTGGCCAGCTCATTGTAATCTACATCAGCCACACCAACCACAAAGACACTGAAGCCTGTAAAAATAACACTTGTTACTTGAAACGTAGTAAACATACATTACCATTTTTCAGGTCAGTATTTCACAAACCATCCCTATCATTGATTTCTCAGGCTCTACCTAGTCTTTTATCTTGCCTTCATTATGAACGTACATTCTGGACATCCTTTCATTGTATCAAAGCTCAGGAGGGATTAAACAGATTTTTGCATCTTTCTTTCAAAACCTTCTCCTCCTTCCTTCTCTGATTTTTGTGGGGCATTATCCAATCTCACATAGCCTTGGCTACATACTCCCCTCACTCTTTCATACAAACTGTACAATACTCTCATCTCTACAGCATCTTAAATCTGTTCTCCATCCAAATTCCTGTGCAGACTGTTAGTTATCCAGTCATCTATCTGTTGCCATCTCCTGCATTTCATGCTTCTCAGTTTCTCTTTCACTTTTTTAGAGTGGTATTCATCTCACCAACTTTTACTTTCCTGGTTAGCAACAAGTCTAAGCTAGTTGTTTGTTCTTCCTTTATAATCAGCAGACAGACACGGGCAGATGCAGAATGCAATTCATCTCACTTCCCTAAAATGCTAACTTCAATACAGAAGAAGCCGTGGTCTGTATATGCCTACCTGTTCCTCTCTTCACTAGCCATAAAAGAACCTTACATGACCTTATATTAGATATTTAGTTGTTAGGTGGCTTAAGTCAAATGAGAAGAACTCAGACCCTAGAATTTAATCATATCACTAGGTATAATGGCATAATCTCCTTCTTTGTCAGGGCGATATTCCTCTTCTAATCCTTAAATTAGCATCGTCTTGCCTTCTATGTCAAATTTTTGTTTCCTGGTATCTTCTAGCCTTAACAGAATTCTGTTTCTGACTCATTTCTTCCTTTCCCTTCTCGCACCTAAGCCTCTATGTGATAATTTTACCTCTCTTTGCCATACCAGGAAACAAACAAGAAAAAAAAGTCATTGCATAATTCAGCACTGTATAGAAAAAAATCTCCCACAAAATTTCATTGACAAGAAAGCACACAGACATTGTAAATGCTGGTTGGAAGCTAAAAGTAAAATTTACATTTATTGTAAATGATAAATCTGTCTTTATTTACATTTTTTATTTTTCAAAAAGAAGATATTTATTCCTCTGTAGCCAATTCTGGTGAAGTTTTGGCTGAAATACTCCGTCTAGCTTTGAGCACAACATTTAAGATGCAAAGAAACCAAAGCAAGTAGAGAGGAGAGTAAAAATGATAAGAAGTTTGGAAAATATGATCAACAGAAGGTTGAAGGAAATAGTTTTGTTTAGTCTAGAAAAGAGAAGACAGAAAGAGGAAATGACAACAGGCTTCAAATATGAAGACCCGTTACAGTGGATAGTGATTAATTGCTAACCTGTTAACTAGGTAAATGAAAAGAAGACTAGTTATATTAGCCCAAAGAAACACTTAGGTGAAATGTGAGGCAAAGTTTTCCAGCTATTAGGGTAGTTAAGCACTGAAGCAGATTATCCAGGGAGACTGTAGAGATTTTTATGAATACAGTAGCCAAACTTCTTTAGAAATCATCTAGACAGAGATGATTCCTTCAAATCACAAAGGCAGAGATGACCACTTGGGGTTTACAAGCCAGCAATTTTCGTAAGGAAGTACAACATCTCCTTACTCAGGGAACAGGACTCCAGGTGGTTCATGCACTGAAATGAAGAACTGCTGGGTGCAGGGACAGGAATAGATTATTAGACTCCCATAAGCCACATTCAGCAAATCTGAAGAGGAAATGCAGTGCTTCTTAGCTGAAAGGGTAATAAGGGAGTCAGTTCAGACCCAGCTCCACAAAGAGCAGTTACTGTAACTGGAGATCCACTGGTTTATACCAGCTATTACAAAGATCAAAAAGCCAGGGTCCACTATGATCCTTGGGGTCCACACAGCTAGGGGAGAAAAAGGTAACCAAAAGCCATGTCTATGAAACAATATGCATCAGGAATTACTTGAAAGCCTTGGGAAGCCACATTCTTCCCCAGAGAGAAGTCGAGAGAAAGAAAATGTCTGGCCCAGAGAGTCTAAACTCTTTAAATAGTTTTGAGTTTTTCCCAAATACTCAGAACACATTTCTGAGTCCTTATGTGATGATCAAAAGATTCTTGGATAATTGAAGCACCACTTATAATTGCACTAACACATACAGAAATGAAACAGCAGGTACTGTGAATTGCTTACCAGAGTGCTGTATGACCGTTGCTGCTTTCCTCACTTCATCCTGAGACCGACCATCTGTGACAACAACGAGTACCTTGGGAACACCTCGTCTCATGCCACTCTCCCAAGTCAAAACCTTTTCTTTGATAAATGTTAGGGCTTTGCCTGCAAAGTGCACGATGAACAAGGAGTCACCCATATTATCCACAAGAGAAGAAATCCCTTACTTTACTTGAAAAGGGCAAGAGCAACACAGCTAAAATAGAAGAACATAAAATCCTGATTCTTCAGCCATGCCATATTAGGATAATGAGGCAGTTCCTGAAAACATTTTATCTTAAAGAAATATAATAGGAATTACCTGTCCTTGTGTTTCCTCCTCTGTACTGAATATTTTGAAGAGCTCCAAGGGCCTGGGCCTTGTCATCAAATGTATTCAGTTTAAATTCAGATTTTGCCTCATCACTGTACTGCACAAATGAAACCTGAAATGGAATATATCACAGTGTTCCATTTCATACCTCCATGTTCAGTCCAACTGTCTCCACTGAAATATGTATTGTGTATATTAGCAATCATTAAATAATTGAAAAATCCTCTTTTTCAATCCATGTATTCAATCCACACACACATTTACATACACAGATATCATCATGTCAATGTGCACACAACACTTCTTTCTTTCTCTTTCGTATGTGAAATGTGATGAGACCTTAAATACATATAATTAAATTATTGCTATTACTATGATGCAGTATATATAGTGCCTTTTCTCTTCTTCTGAGCAGATGTATAGTAACTACAAAACCTCTTCCATTTTTTTTTTTTTTTAGGAAATACAAAAAGAATTTGGCAATAAAATGTCAATAAAGTTGGATATATGCAAAATTGTGTACTCTCTTGCCTTGAATACATGAATACAATCATGGAATGTTTATTCTGAAATCATCTTTAAATAGTATATATATATCATTTGCTCCTTTTAATATTATGTAAAATTGCAATATAATTTGATGCTGAATAGATATTTCTCTGTATGTACATATTCACATTTATTGAAGTAAATTCCCCTTTTTAAATTATTAATATCCAATTCAAAACATGAGACTGTTGCAACTATGTCAAGAGGTATTTGACTTAAATATTCTACTGAACATTAGCATTTATATATCTCTGTCACCTGTATTAGGTCTGTCTCTGGGCCAGGGACCCATATATATTCTCAGGAAAAAAATATTATAAAACAAACAGATGGAAAGGAACACTAGTTGGTATAGATTAGAGCTAAAAAGGATAAAGAATGTCTGAGACAAACAAAGCATGAGGGCTATCTTTTCCTAAAAAATGTCTAGAGAGTTAAAGATAGGGAACCAAAGACCTAAACATATGTCTAGAAGATGAAAGGCAGCTCATGAGCAATGTTTTTATAGTTACTGGGGAAAATAACTTCCACAATCTCCTACAAAAAACAAAAAAAAAAACAAAACAAAAAAAACAAACAAACAAACAAAAAAAAAACTTCAGCCTTCTAACCAAGGAAAATACATTGCTCCTTCAGGTCATTGCAGTGCTCCAGAAATACCTTGTAAAAAACTCTCTCATATCACATATCATTCACCTCATCTGGTGAAAGAGAAATGGTTATGGGATCATAGACAGTGATCTCACCCAGCTTCCCATAAGCAAAAGAAAACCAGTAATGGTGCAAGGCTTAAAGTAGGAAGCCTGACAGGAAATTTCTTTGACCCAACTATGATCAGCCCCAAAATCCTGAAAGTCTATTCCTCATTAGCTATTACTGTTTACTTTTTAAAGATGCATTGATTCATTAAGAGGACTAACTTTTCACCTTTTCATACCTCCACTATGCCCACTGTGGAGTGGACCTATGTTACCTATCCTTAGGATGGGATGAAGAGACTTCTACAAGTGCCTCTCTTGAAGGGATTCTGTCTACTTACTGCAGTGGGATTCTAGGCAGCTTGACAAGACAAGGCTAATGTCAAGCCAGCTGCAATCTACATGCACAAGACTCCTTTCTTGCACTGAGAAATTACAGTGTAACCCTCACTCCTCAGTCAGACTGTCCCCAAAACAGATTTCTGATACGACACAGACAAAACCTAGCATATAACAACAAAGCAGTGTGACAGTTTTTTACACCCTATAAAAAGAAACAAAAATATAAAATGAACTATGCACTGACTACACATCACCCCAGTTTCTCCGCCCAGAGGATTCCCACACACTATGTCTGTCTTTCAGAATAGTAACCTCTCAGGACAGAGTGGATTCCCTTTGTATTTACAAAATGACCAATATATTTCATAAATAATTATACATGCCCACACATACACGTGCATGGTACAACAATCTAATACCAAAAAACGACAGTATTCTGAAATAAAGGAAATCAGATATAACTTTCTTAATTCAGCTTCATCTTTAGTTTCCCTCCAAAATGTATCCAATGGAAATAACAAACCTACCTGGATTCCAGCAGGATTAATCAAGTCAAAAGCTCCTACTGTATTAAAAACAAATTTCACTACTTTGTTGAAGTTATCATCACCAATACTCCAGGAAGCATCCGTCAAGAATACTATGTCTGCTTTGGCACCTCTGCATACTGAAAGACCAAGAAAAGGAACACTTAAAACACATCAATCATATCACTGTGAAATAAAGGGTATTGCTTCAAAATTTGAAAGTTCAAGAATGATAACTATTCAGCAAAATTCTATTACCAGGCAGTCAACCTGGTAGAGGGCTAATGCTCAACACAAAAATATTTATTAAAATTTTTCAAAGAGAAGTTCAAGAAATGAGGAAGAGCTTAAGAATCAAATGTAAGTCTTTTAAATTACTTTTTTTTTTCTAAGCAGCTATCATAAAACATAAATTATCTGCTAAGAGCAGACAGACTCACAGACTTGCTGCAGAGCTATAGGATATGATTTTTTTCACCAAATTTGTGCACCTTGATGTTCTAAACCAGGAAATGCTGGGATCTAGTAAAGCTCAAGAGGAAATGGATGGCATTAGGAAACTGGTCTCAAACTTCATTTCCTTAAAATGCTGTTATTTTAAAATCTATTTAAATTTATGAAAAACAGAATTAAACTCCAAAGCAGTGCATCAACTACATAAAAATACTGAATAATTCTACAAATAAACATACCATCCCGAGCGGGAGGGATCGTGGGAGGTGGAGGAGGTGTAGGTGGCAGAGTTGGTGCCTCTGTAGGTTTGAGGACTGAAATGAAATAATATTTTTTTTACTCCATATAAATTATTTAATTCAAGGAAAAACTCTGGATTATGTTTTATATTACCACACAGAAAGATTCTAATCTTTTCTCACTAACCTAAACAACGTATAATTGGCAAGAAAAAATTTCTTGTGTTACAAGAATAATGACATTATAGCTATTGTTAAAACAAAGGTACATTATTTCATTATAACAGGAACACTTTAACATGAGCTGAGTAACACTGCACTCTGATAATGCATCCATTTTTCATCCAAGAGCTAGGAAATACTTGATTTGAAGAAGAGCATAAGAATTTCTCTTTCTCTTATAAACTCCAGTTAACATTAGATTAAGAAAAAGAGGAAAGATCACTTTAAAAAGGTAATGAAAGCCATTTAGGAGCGAGGCGAGTTCTACAGCTGAAACAAGACAAATTCTATAGCCAAACATTAAGGTTCACAGTATCTATTGCCTACCTGTACGCTCCCTCATAGAGACTGGAGGTCCCTCAAGGTTAGGAGTCTGAACAAAGACGGTAGCATTGTATTCTGTGTCTGGTGAGAGGCCAGTGAAACAATGGCTTGTTTCTGACCCACGCACTGTGATTTCCTGTCCTCTGGAACCTGTCAAAAAAAGCCCAATGGAAAGAGAGTTAGAACCCACTATTTCCCTTTTAATATGTGCACAAATAAGTGTAGAAACCTCTTGAGAGGAGGTTGGAGCAGATAGGACAGTAGTCTTATTCTTGTCCCATAAAAGACTTTCTAGACCAAGATTACATGGAGCATACTGGAGAGTAACATCACAGTGTACATGTGAAACTCAGATAACTAGTAGGTTTCCACTAACAAAAGTCAACTTGACAATAAGCAGCTTTTTCACCACTATAGAAAAACAGGTTATGTTCAGAGCTTTAAAACTCAACTAGACACATCAGGGCTTCTGGTGTGTGCTTAAGACCATCCCAAATAAGTGGTGCTGTAAGACAATTATGTTTCCAGAAAATGAAAAAAAAAAATGCACTTACCATCAGCTGGGTTCAGCTTCAGTCTGTAGGAAGTTGCTGACCGATGAGGTGACCATCGGATACAGAAAGTATCCCAACCCACTTTGTAACTTGTTAGGTCAGTGACATTCAAATATACTGTGAACAGAGAAAATGTTAAATTGTTCTCTGGAAAACAGTATGCAATGGATGAAACACATCAAAATGAAAATTATATTGTAATGTTGGTCCAGAACTTGAATTTTTAAAATACTCACAAAGAGCAGTTCTAATCATTCATTTTCTGTTATGCCCTAGAGATCCCAGCATAGCTATTTACAAAGGCCCAAGGTCTGATAACCTTCCCATATTGGGTAACAGTCTATTTTATGAGTTTTCACATGAAGTAAGTTGAATTTTTATAAAACAAGAAATTTCCAAAAATCAGAATCTGACTCATATATATGGCAGCATTAAAAGAATGTATTGAGTCAACAAAACTCAGGATGTTTGATTCATCTTAACTGAAGAAATTTTTCAAAGTTTCTTAGCCAAGGCCATCAACAAAATCATTTCCTTCTGAAAAGCTGAAGTTTCAATCATTGGACATTGCTGTGAGAGAAAAGCAGAGTAGCAAAGGCCTAGACCTGCTTAGACATTTAAAGATTGACCCCAACTATAGCTGAATAAAATTTTAGGAAACAGATTAGAAAATTTTATATCATCAAATCATTACTTAAAACTCTATTTCCATTACTGTTCCCAAGCTTAGTGTTTTTAAGATCTACATCACAAGGCAGAAGTATTCTACATGAGAGGATATTCAGACTTTCTAATAATCAGCCTTAAAAATCCTCTCTTAATCGATGTTATCTCAAATCAGCTTATGTATCTAGCATGACTACAACAAAATTATTTTGACTTACATGTAGTGCCTTGATCTGTCAAAGGTATGCTCATTCCAGAGTCATACTGGGCATAAACATTCACATCATAAGTAGTACTGGGATACAGATTATGCAAGGTGTAGGAAGTCACTTCTCCGACAAAAACCTCCATGGGCTCATTTGAACCTTGAATTCAAAGGAAGCATTAAGGATGGGCGGAGAGAGAGAAAGATTCACGATTAGGTGAGCTACAAAACTATCCACCATCTTTAAGATGTCATTAAGTGTTAATCTTGTTTTTTTCTAAATCAAAATATACTAATTTCTTAAACTTTAGCATATTAGACTGTTGCAAATAGAACATATGCATAGGTTTACAGGATATTGTGCAATGTTTGTGTTTTATTTAACTTATACAAAGGTACGTATAGTTTCACTGTCACATAAAACAAAGGTTCTGAAGGACATTAGTACCTAAATACCTGTCCAATACTCATCTCACATACACCAGTTCATATCTTCAAAAGGATAAGAGGTATTAAAGAAAGGAAAACCAAGTCTGGTCCAGGACTTTATCTAGTCATTGTATTAAATTTTAACTATACAATTCAATCTCTGTAATTGAACGTACAAAACACTGTATTTAATAGTTTGTGCTTCTTATACTAAGACTTAAGCCTCCATTAAATCAGTAAGTATCGGAAATAAATAAATCTTTTAACACAAACATTTCATGATACATATTATTTCTGTTCTGATCTCCCATTAGCCACTCACTATTCTGAAAGTGGTATACTCAGAATGAACAGGTTTGCTTACCCACAGGTTTGTATACAATTTTGTAGCCAAGAACAGGAGATGGTGAAGGATCCCAGGAAACTCTGAATCGTGTATACCATTCATCAGTTATATACATATTTTGAGGAGGAAGCAGGCCAACTAAAAAGAAATTTAAAAAATCTAATTAGACTGATTGTTTTTGAACCTTTAGAAACTTACATTTTAACTCTGATCAGTAATAATCCCATCAAAGACATAATTAACATAATGAGACCCTAACAGTGTTGAAGTGGTCAAGGAATGTATGTCCTAAATTTGAAAAGGAATACACAGTATTAAAACTAATTACCAGTTCTGCCATTTCCAGTCAGTTGTCCACCATCTCCATCTTCATACACAGCCACAACAGTAATTTTATATGGTGTATCTGATTGCAGTGGTTGTAATATCACATTATTTCTTATCCCAGGAACTGTTGTCTAGAACACAAAAGAAAGAGGTAAACAAACTCACAGTCCTGTAACTTATCAATAATGACAGTAACTAGAATTAAAAATTTGTTTTGACACTTGGTGCACTTTTTGTATGTCATAGAATCATAGAATTGTGCTGGTCTGAAAAATTCTTCAAGATCATTAAGTCCAACCGTCCACTGTAGATAAAGTAATTCAGGATATCTTAAAAGTTATAGCTTATAAACAATTATTAGCATTCGTTATTTAAAATTATAAAACACTGATCAGCACAAAATGTTAAATCAAATTGACTCTTCAGTCCCTACCCTCACATCAGACTGAGACATTGCATTTCCTCACCAAGATTTCAGTACTGTTCTCTCATAGAAAGAAAAAGTAATGATGATGTGTTTGGAGACAGAAAAAGTAGAGGAAAGCACTCCTAAAATTAGGATGGAAGTCAAAGTCATTCATGCTACTCAGCAGTTTCATTTCTACCTTTTCATTATCTTCATTTTAGGATATCATTTTCTTGTCAGAAACAAGTTAGTCTGAGAAGGAAGCTCTAAACATTTTGATATGTAAAAATGTGCCTATTTATGCATCCCTCAACCTCCTAAACTTCCTACTACAGCCATGCACTATTGCTCCCTTCTAATGAAAAGGTAGGTATAATCCAAAAAGTGACACTGCTCCATAAAGTGGCCATAAAGCACTGAAACCATGGAAAGTAACTTGAGGCATCTATCTCAAAAGCATGTCCCAGTAAACATTTTCCATTATTACTTGATAAAAGTTTTCAGTTGTTTGAGACTTGCTATTTTTATGAAACGTCCAATATTTTCTCTAAAGAAGATATGCGTGTTGGAAAACATGTGTGTCCTGATTAACAGGTCCAGTAGGGAATTTTCAAACAGTGAATTTTCAGCATGACCTATGCAATAATATATAAACAGTAAGAGCACTTAAATAGCACTCTATAC